CCTTCATTTTACAAATGAGGAAGATGGATAGGGGTCCACAGAATGTGATCAAGGTTATACATTGATTGGTAGCAAAACCAGGAGAGAGTTTAGACCTTTGTTTTCTGAATCCACAGCATTTTCCTTAGTGTTCTCATCATGTTTTGGAGATGGGGAGGTAAGGAATCCTTTCTAATTTCTCCCTTCAACAGTTATATTTATTTGACATCTGCTGTGCCCCAACCCAAGGCTATCTCTCCTGTTAGATTTGGGAATCTACAATCTACTGGTGTATGGCACACGATTGGGTAATCAAGTAACTATTTTTTTCATTTAACCCAGATATTCCTAACTTCTCTAGCTACCAGGGATCATGCTTCCCTTAGTGTGAGTCTCCCTGAATTCCCATCCTGTTTACTCATGGAACATCCCACTCTTTATTCTATTCCCAGCTTACTCTGATAACCCCCAAAGAATCCTTAAAGGTCCCACAAACTCATCCAGATTCTACACTTCTTGAGGAAGTTTCAGGCAGGGGAATATTAAGGCGCAGGACCCATAATATCAGCCTTCCCCAGATTCAACAGGCCAGTGCCTCCTCAGCCCCATGGAACATTCTTTTTGGAGTGGTACTCTTTGACACATGGAGAGACATTATGCAGACTCTGGAGTCTTCTGCCTGAAGAGTCCTCAGTCCGATTCCTTTATTTCTACATCTTAGGGATGCCCCTCATTTTCATGCATGCCCAGGAAAGCCAACATTCTGCCCACTTCCCCTTGTCACAGGCCATCACGCCCACATCCTGATGTGGTACATTTTCTGATATGGTGAGAACACTGGGCTGACTGTGTCTCCACTCCCTTGCCCCTCATTTGCTCTGATTTCAGATCCTGAACATCAGTGTGAAGGCCCCAGCCCTCTGCTGAGCCAGCTGCTGCCCCACATGGAGAAGAAGAGTGATCGTGGGGAAGGAGGTAGGGAGGGAGTCATTTGCTGTCAAACAGGCAGCAAGGGAACTAGAGTGAGAGGGGTCAGATTTGAGACACAACAGAGTTTGACTTTTAGGCTCTGAGTCAGCTAAAAAAACAAAAACAAGAGCACTACATTCATTAGTGTGTATCCAGGGAATACATCTAGAGTATCCAGAGAATCTGGTAAAGACTCTTCCAGAAGGAATATGAGGGATCCACAGACAGAAGGGCCCAGCGTCCTTACCACTTTTCTCTTCCATAAGAGAAATGGAAGTGGCCTTTCTTGGGTTGCAGTAGCTCAGACCATAAGCATCCAGGTTGATGACCCTGAGGTACTGCACAGCCTGCCTGTAACCAGAGCAGTCATGATTCCCAGTCCCACTCAACTCTTGTCCCACAGACCTTTTAACTCCTGGACCAACCGTGTCCTCCCTCATCTTCCCCATGTCCCCTGCTTCATGCATGTTCCATAGAACAGCTTGTAGAACATTGGTAAGTGAAGGGAAGAGGTCAGAGACAAGGCTGAGAAGGAGGATGCTGCTAAATTATGGACAGCCTTGAATATTTTGATATGAAATTTTGTCCCTTGGGACCACAAGCTAGTACAACCTCTGTGGAAAGTGATATGGAGATACCTCAAAGAGATACAAGTAGAACTACCATTTGATCCAGCAATCCCATTACTGGGCATCTACCCAAAGAAACAAAAGACATTCTCTAAAAAAGACATCTGCACTCAAAATGTTTATAGAAGCACAATTCACAATTGCAAAGATGTGGAAACAACTCAAGTGCCCATCAATACATGAGTGGATTAATAAAACGTGGTATATGTATACCATGGAGTACTATTCAGCCACAAAAAACAATGGTGATCTAGCACCTCTTGTATTATCCTGAACAGAGCTGGAACATTCTACTAAGTGAAGTATCCCAAGAATGGAAAACAAACACTACATGTACTCACCATCAAATTGGTTTTAACTGATCAACACTTAAGTGCACATATAGTAATAACATTCATTGGGTGTCGGGCAGATGGGAGAGGGGAGGAGGGGATGCACATACACACACTTAATGGGTGAGGTGCGCACCGTGCGGGGGATGGACATGCTTGAAGCTCTGATTCAGGTAGGGCAAAGGCAATATATATAACTTAAACATTTGTACCCCTGTAATATGCTGAAATAAAAAAAATTTAAAAAAAAGAATTTTGTCCTTATTCATGAGGTAAGGGTGAAAATCATGGTTGTTCATGATAATGATTTTAAGCATATTTTACCTTCCTTCTAAATTGAAAGAGAACATGAAGGGAAAACACCTGAAGCACAAAGGTAGCATCTTGGTTTATGGACCAACGAAGAAACACTAAGGGAAAGGGAATAAGTAGGCAGAAGGAAAAAGAGAAGCAGGACTGCAAATTTTTCAAGACAACCAAACAGGTATTCCAAAAAGAAAATTATAGTTTATAATATTGGATGTAACAGAAAACTGGAGACAGAGAGGTGAGGTCTGATCAAGTGTCATTAAATTTGGTAAATGAGGAAGCAGTGAGGCTCCTTGAGGGAAACTTTTCAAGAGAATTTTGGGGCAGGATTGGGGACACATGGAATTTCTGGGATTTAGATTTCAAAGGGTCCCTTGGGGTGCACTTTTAATGTTACTCCTAAGCATGCTTGGCATAGAAATCCCTCAAGCCATAAGAAAGGCCAATAATCTAGAATAAAGGAAAATGTTGACTATATTTCACAAGTGTTCAGACTAGTACTTCTTGGCGGATATTGAGCATCCAAGTATGGTGTCAAAACACAAAATTGGTCCTGGCCCTCAGAATGCTCTAGAACAGAGGAGACAGGCTGGAAGAAGACAGAAGAGGGCTCTAATCCTGACCTGAACTCCTCTTCTTCACTTTCATGGTCTGCAGGCTCCACTTCTGTCCACGTCCCAACTTCCTATGTGGCTCCATCTGTATTTACCTTCTTTCTCTTCCCAGGGGAAGCTCTGTCGTTCTGAACTCCTCAGTTGGAGTGTATCACCCAGAAACTGTAAGTATTTCCTTCTATGGCTCCAGATTAAGAAAAAGGAAATAGCCTTATTTCCTGAGAAAACTGGAGCTATCCAAAAGATCCCAGGCTAGGTCATTGCTAGGTGGGGCCCACCTACATATACACCTGATCAATTGGAGTCTCAGAGCTTCCTTCTCCAGAAAGGACACTCCTGGCATCTTTGCCCTGTCTTTATGACATCATCAGTCATCTCTGCAGTTGCCCCAGAAGGGATATGTTTCTGGACGTAGGTCTAGAAATCTAACAGCAACTATCCTCCCCAGTAGGTCATCTACTCCCCTTTTCATCCACAGAAACTAGAGGCCAGCAACATCAGGAAAACAACCCTGCTATACCTCATCGAGACCCTGGCAGTGAAGGTGGTGCCAAAAAACCTTTCGAAAGACCATGATAGACCTTTTGGCCCCGTGTGGCAGTGAGATGCAGAACTGTGGTCATTTGGGTGAGTCCATCTTCAGTCTTCAATGTGAGATGGGGGAGGACGTTGATAATTGGTGAGCAACGCGTTGCATAGAGAGAGGGAAGGGAGGCTCACGATGTCAGCGTCTCTCTCTGGATTTACCTCCCCGACCTTCTCCGACATCCCCACTGACTACCACAGGAATGAACAAGCTTGACATGGGTAACAGAAAATCAGAAGCAAATTTTCATGCCTGGCAGCTGCCACCCAAGAGCTTTGCTGTCGTGAATGTTACAAGGCTTGGATTATGCAAGCTGGAAGCGAATTGTACTGTGAACTTTTTTT